GGAAAGGAGATCTGCTTACCTGACTTGCTCGAGTGGTTGTGAAGACATGTTTCAGGTTTGTCCTTTGTCAACAACAACAACTTGCACTTATATAGCGCCCTCCACAAAGGGTAGCGTCCCAGAGCGCTTAACAGTGGCGGAGCCTGACTCCAACAACAAATTACATTTGTATAGCGCCTTTCAAGTCGAGAGGACATTCCAAGGCGCTGAATTTGGGGCATAAAAGAGTTTGGCGGGGATTGGGGCTTATTTGCGGGGACAACCCTCATTTCCCCAGTGGAACGTTTTGGTCTAATTTGGTTGATGGGGGCAAGCAGGCCTCACCTTGCTCACCAATAGAAAACGAAGAAAAAAAAGCACAAGTTGTTGCTGCTGTTGTTGAACTGAGAGGGAGGTTGAGCCTGGGTTACAGACAGCCCCACAGTGGGGAGGGAAGAAAATTGCCATTTACTGCAGGACCCATCACACATCTCAATAAGCTAAACACCGAATGACTTAAGTGATTAAAGACACAAATAGAAAAATGGCTAGGGAGTGCCACTGACAGAGCTCTGCAGGAAAAACTGCAGCCTGTACTCTGGCCGAGGAAAGCTGCAGTATGGAGACATGCCATGGAGGGGAAAGGATTAAATTCTCTCCCCCCAACCACAAAAAAAGAATAAATTATAAAATCCTATTTCCGCCACCCATAGGATTCTGTTGCCAAATATCTTGCCTGAGCCCCACATCAGGGACTTTGAGCTCACATTCCAGGCTGACACTTGGACAGGCAGATGGGACCCTGGTTTAACATCTCATCTGAAGAAAGATACCTCCGACAAAGCATCAAACCCCAGTACCGCATGGAATATCGTATGAGACTATATGGGTTCTAAATTTCGTGGGACTTGAAACCACATCTTTCTGACATGGAGGCGAGAGTGCTACTGACCCAGGCTAACACTGACACTAATGTTTTGTTCAGCACTTTAAGCACAATTGTCATACTCTCCACATGATAACAACAACCACAACATGTACATATTTAGTGCTTTCATCTGCTATTTACTTGTGATTTTATATGATTGCTGTCTTTAAGATTCTAAAGGGCAATATTGATCATCACAGGCTGTTTCAACTAGTCCAGAATAGTAAAACCAGAGGTCACGGCCTGCAATTGAAGGGGATTAAATTCTGTACGAATCTGGGGAAAACACAATTTCAGTGAGTGAATAGTGAACCTGTGGAACAGGTTCCCTAGGGAGACAGTTGAAGCAGGAAGTGGTGATTCCTTCAAACACAGATTAGATAGTTTTCTTTTATGAAATAACATTATAGGATATAGTACATAGGTAATTCGGGACAAGTTGCATGCGACCGTCAGGAAGGTGGAAGGCAAACTAGATGGACCTTGGTTTTTTTCATCTAGCATTTCTTATGTTCTTATGGATTAGCTAATGTTATCAGGCTCCGTCCATGTTAAAGTATTTGGCAACAGCAGATATATGATTGGACTGAAATGTTGCAAAATACTGCACCCAATATTCAGACAGAAGTCCTGAACATAAAACAGGAAATTGGTGGAAACTCATTAATGCTGCATTTAGCTTGTGAATTACTTGAGACCCTTTTAAATAGCACATATCCTGAGTTGCTAGTGGGTGCAATTTTACATTTCAGGCCAGAATTCCAGACATGGCTGCTATATGGACATAATTGATCTTTAACTGTCAGTCTGGCTCAGTCGGAAGCACACTTAGAGCTGTTTGTGTAATATTGCTGTGTGCAGATGGACTGGCTCACTTACCTATAAAATACAGTCACTACACTTTACAGAATATGCTGTGAAGTGCTTTGAGACACATTCCCAAAGGGAAAAAAGCAATACTGCATATCAAATCTAAGGATTATTTATTCTTGCTCTCATTTTTGAATTGGAAATTTGTGTGTTCAAACACTGTGTGAGGACATTTCAGTTCATAGTCCAGGATGACACTGCAGTGTAGTTTTGGGGAGTGTTGTATTGTCGGAGGTGCAGATGAGATGTCAAACCAAGGCCCGTCCGCCTGTTCAGATAGGTATCAAAGGTACTACTCAAAGAGAATGGAGTTTCTTCAGGTGTCCTGGTCAACAATCCCCCAATAATTCTGGCCATGGATGTATGTGGGCCATTGCTATGAGCAAATTGGCTGCCAATTGCTTACAAATACAGTCACAGCTCACCTTGAAGTGTATTGAGATGTTTTAATGACATGATAAGACACTATATCAATTGCAAGGTTTAATATTGTAACTGCCTGCAGATTCCACACTTGCCAAGCACCCAAACACACAGCCACTACAATTTCCTTTTTAATCCACCCTGGGACATCCTACTGAGTGGAAGTTGCTATCAAAATGCTTTAAGGCATTTTAATGGCATCATAAGGCACAATATAAAATGCAAATATTATTAAAATTGTGAGTGCATACACACTCACACGAGTTGTTCCTAAGTCACAACTCATAGCATTTTAAAAATAACCGTGATCCTTCCCTGATTTCTTGAGAACATCCGGACAGATTGTTAATATTCACCGACTGTCAGGACATGGCTGAAATTTCAGCTCACCTCCAGCCATAAACTGGGGCTGCCATTGCACACAGCTGCCATTCACATTGCTGGCCAAATTGCCTAGGTAACAGGCACTTCATTTCTAATTTAATCTCTTTCCGTGAAGCATTTTGAAGTGATTCTCGAGTTGCAGAATTGGCAACTTTGTATTTCTTCAACAAAAATGAGTTAGTGCCCTTTCAGATCTCCGAGGAAGAGGAGCGGGCTAAGGGTCCAGCCTTGAGGATCTGTAGGTAATCTTATAAGGCCGGTAAGAGAAACCATCAGAATCAAACAAAGTGGAGATGATGGGTTAGGACGGAATGGAAACTATAAACTAGGAGAGAATGGTCTCACGGAGGTGGACTGTGGAGGAGAAGCAATCGAGCATAGCGTGGTCAACAGTGTCAAAAGAGAGCATAGAGAGGTCAATGAGGAGCCCTGATCACAGAGAGAGTATATTATTGGTAAAAAGGGGGGAGTGGGGTGTTAGAATCCAGATTAATTGTTCATTCACTTCATTCCACTTTGTGGGATGGTGCAGTGCTTGCTTGCATTTGGTATAGTACCTTATCACGTCATTGAGACATCTTAAATTGTTTCGCAGAATAGACTGTATATTCTTGTGGGGGTAATGCAGCAACAACAACAACAAAATTACATTTATAGAGCGCTTTTCAAATCGGGAGGACGTCCCAAAGCACTGAACAGTCAAGTGGAGTCCTGTAGCTCAGTGGTTAGAGCACTCGCTTTGCAAGCGAGAGACCTGAGTTCAATTCCAGGCAGGGCGAAACCTTGGGCAAGTTTCCTTACTCCACACGCCTAATAATAATCCCTCCAAAAAACCAAAAACAATAATAAATTGGTCATTTTCAATCTACGACTGTTTGTGGGACATTGCTGTGCGCAATTGGCTGCCGCGTTCGCCCACAAATATACAGTCAATTCACTTTACAGTGTGTTCTGTGAAGTGCTTTGGGACGTCCTCCCGACGTGAAAAGTGCTATATCAAGTGCAAGGATTATTATTATAAGTGTCGGGGCCCAAGCATGGGGTGGGGGGTGGTGTAAGGGTGAGGGAAGGCAGAGAGGTGGGAGGGAGACTAAGGGCACAGCCAAAGAGAAGGGTCTTGAGACCGGCCTTGAAGGAGGCAAGGCCGGAGGTGAGGTGAAAGGACCGTGGGATGGAGTTCCAGAGTGTGGGAGTAGAGAGGCTGAAAGCCCGGTCACCAATGGTAGGGCGGGTCGAGCGGGAGACATGGAGCAGATTGGAGCCCGCTGAACGGAGGGAGCGGGCAGGTTGGTAGAGAGTCAGCAGGTCAGAGAGGTAGGGGGCAAAGCCTAGATCTCTACCAAAGAGGTAGGGATCTAGGGGGCAAAGCCATGGATGGTCTTAAAGGTGAGGACGACGATCTTGAACTCGATCCTTTGGGGGATGGGGAGCCAGTGGAGTCGGGCGAGGGTGGGAGTGATGGGGTCACGGAGCCTGGTGCGCGAGAGTACACGAGCTGCAGAGTTTTGGATGATCTGCAGCTTGTGAAGGGAAGAGTTGGGAAGGCCGATGAGGAGGGAGGAGTTCCCATAATCGAGCCTTGAGATGAAGAATGCATGGGTGAGGTTTTGGCAGCCTGAAGGGTGCGGCAGTGGCGGTTGGTTGCACACAGCAGTTTCTCACAAACAGTTGTCAGTTGCGAGACCCCTTTTTTTCTTAAAAAAAGCAATTATTATCTGCTGGAAAGCGATTCGCCAATCGACTAACAACAGGGATCCTCCTATAGGTATTATAATTATTACTGCTAGGTATTATCATTATTACTGCTAGGTATTATCATTATTACTGCTAGGTATTATCATTATTACTGCTAGGTAAACAGAGGCGTGTGGAGTTGGAAAACTTGACTAAGGTTTAGCCCCGTCTGGAACCAAACCTGGGTCCTCTTGCTTGCAAGGCGAGTGCACTAACCTCTTGTAAGCCCTCTGAGACGCTACCCTGCACGGAGAGCGCTCTATAAGTGCGCGTTGTTGTTGCTGTTAACCACTATGCTACAGGACTACAAATATCACTCCGAAGCTTCGAACCGACTGTGCGAAAACCTCGGGAGAGGCAGCGACGCGACGGAAGACATCGATATCAAATGCAAGTTAGTGGAGTAGTAGTATTAATATTATTATTATTATTATTATTGCAGAAGCAGCAGCAGTAACTGACTGACTGTGAACGTTACCCAGTTCCTCAGCAGAGGGATTGCCTGACACCTGTTCTGGGTGCAGACAGTGGCGGCTCTGGGCTGTGTGGGCACTGACCATTTCCCCCCTGCTCGGGTCATGACCCAACTGTGCAGCGCCTTGGGACGTCCTCCTGACGTGAAAGGCGCTTTATAAATGGAATCTTGTTGTTGTTGTTGTTGAGTGAGGAGGGAATGGCTCACCTGGTATCTGCCGGTCAGCAGTTGGCTGCGGGAGGGAGTGCACAGCGGCTGCACATAGTAGTTATCCAGTCTGACGCCCTCCGCCGAGAGTCTGTCCAGGACCGGGGTCCTGAGCTGAGAACCGTGATACCCCACATCCCCCCAACCAAAGTCATCAGCCAGAACATACACCAGGTGGGGCGGGGGCTGAGCCCGGGGCGGGGGCGGGGGCTGAGCCCGGGGCGGGGGCTGAGCCCGGGGCGGGGGCTGAGCCCGGGGCGGGGGTCGGGACCCGCCAGACATGGGGAGAAGCCACAGAGCACACACAGCCCAGTGCAGAATACACACTGCCATCTCCCCCAACACTGTCACTCACTCACTCACTCTCTTACAATCACTCACTCTCTCACACTCACTCACTCTCTCACACTCACTCACTCTCTCTCACACTCACTCACTCTCTCTCACACTCACTCACTCTCTCACACTCACTCACTCTCTCACACTCACTCACTCTCACACTCACTCACTCACACTCACTCACTCTCTCTCACACTCACTCACTCTCTCTCACACTCACTCACTCTCTCTCACACTCACTCACTCTCTCTCACACTCACTCACTCTCTCTCACACTCACTCACTCTCTCTCACACTCACTCACTCTCTCTTACACTCTCACTCTCTCTTACACTCACTCTCTCTTACACTCACTCTCTCTCTTACACTCACTCACTCTCTCTTACACTCACTCACTCTCTCTTACACTCACTCACTCTCTCTTACACTCACTCACTCTCTCACACACTCACTCTCTCTTACACTCACTCTCTCTCTTACACTCTCACTCTCTCTCTTACACTCTCACTCTCTCTCTTACACTCTCACTCTCTCTCTTACACTCACTCACTCTCTTACACTCACTCTCTCTCTTACACTCTCACTCTCTCTCTTACACTCTCACTCTCTCTCTTACACTCACTCACTCTCTTACACTCACTCTCTCACTCTCTCTCTTACACTCACTCACTCTCTCTTACACTCACTCACTCTCTTACACTCACTCACTCTCTCTTACACTCACTCACTCTCTCTTACACTCACTCACTCTCTCTTACACTCACTCACTCTCTCTTACACTCACTCACTCTCTCACACTCTCACTCTCTCTTACACTCACTCTCTCTCTTACACTCTCACTCTCTCTCTTACACTCTCACTCTCTCTCTTACACTCTCACTCTCTCTCTTACACTCACTCACTCTCTTACACTCACTCTCTCACTCTCTCTCTTACACTCACTCACTCACTCTCTCTTACACTCACTCACTCTCTTACACTCACTCACTCTCTCTTACACTCACTCACTCTCTCTTACACTCTCTCTCTCTTACACTCACTCTCTCTCTTACACTCACTCTCTTACACTCACTCTCTCTCTCACTTACACACTCACACACTCTCACTTTCCCCCACACACACACACACACACACACTTAATCTCCCACTCCCTCACCCACTCCGTCTCTCACTCACACACACACACACACACACACACAGAGTCACCACCCGGAAACGAGGTGACTTTATATCAGTCCCTTTTAAAGCGACACTGTCCAGAGTCAGAAACACAGTGTCATCACATCACGATCAGTTTAATGTGATGCTGTGATCACTCCCTTGAGGTCGTGTTTTTTTTTTCCTCGGGGGCTTCCGTGGCACCGTCTAATGCTGCACATCGTCCTAACTGCAGCTGTTAACTCTGCCCCTCCTGATCCCCACATGTTCCTCTGTTGGCTTTTGACTCTGCAATTTCTGCTCCCAGTTACGTTGTCACCCTTTCGCAGTTTATAATAATATATAATAACCCTTGCATTTGATATAGCGCTTTTCACGTCGGGAGGACGTCCCAAAGCGCTTCACAGAACACACTGTAAAGTGAATTGACTGTATATTTGTGGGCGAACGCGGCAGCCAATTGCGCACAGCAATGTCCCACAGACAGTCGTAGATTGAAAATGACCAATTTAATTATTGTTGCAGAGTTTAGTCTCTGGATGTGGTCGGGTGGCGAAAGCCAAGGCAGGAGCACCGCAATCGCGGTACCATTGCAATCCTTGCACAATCCTTGCACAACGAATAGATGTTGGGGTAAATGCAACCCCCCCCCCCTCCCCCCTGCCAGGGCTCGCGGCGGGCGCTAGGACCCGGGGACGCTGACTGCTCTCAGGCAAATAACACGCAGCTCGTGACTGAGGGCCAATGCTGAGCTTCAATCAGTGCAGAGACTGAGAGGGGTCAGTGCTGCACTCTCACTCTTCTCTGAGCCACCAGCGCCAGGGGGGGAGGGGGGAGGGGGTTGAGGGGGGAGGGGGTTGAGGGGGACGACTTCAATGCAAATCAGGAAGTGAGGAGGGAGAGGACCTGCCATGGGGACAGAAAGATTATCATTGCAACTGGTTACAGCTCCTCCTGCAAACACCCACCAGCTTGTTGACTGCAGGACTGGGAGCGCAGGGCCACATTAACTGTGTGGCTGATGTCAACCTAACCTTGAGAACCATACTTGCATTTGATATAGCGTTTATGACGTCTTTGAAACGTCTCAAAGTGCTTCGCAGAATATGCCGTAAGGGGAATCGACTGTACAGTTTGTGGATGCGGCCGATCGGGCGTTAAGGCACCAAAACGCCAAAAAGTCTCCGCGTGGTAAAGGAATTGCACCTGGGGTTTGGAATCAGGAAGGATTGTAGGTGGGGTAGGGATAGGAGGGTGACCGAAGGCGCGGTCGAAGAGGAGGGTCTTGAGTCGGGCTGTGAACAAGGCAAGGGAGGGGGTGAGGCGGAGGGACTGTGGGATGGAGCTCCAAAGGGTGGGGGCCTGGATAATAATATAATAATCCTTACAGTTGATATAGCATTTTCACATCTTCAAGACGACTCAAAGCGCTTCACAGAATATACTGTAAAGCGAATTGACTGTATATTTGTGGGCGAAACGCGGCTGCCAATCGCGCACAGCAGTGTCCCACAAACAGTCGTGGATTGAGTGACCAAATTATTATATTTTTTTGAGGGATTGTTATCAGGCGTGTGGAGTAAGGGAACTTGCCCAAGGTTTCCCCCTGCCGGGAATTAAACCCAGGTCTCTCGCTTGCAAGGCGAGCGCTCTAACCACTGAGCTACAGGACTCATGGATGTGATGAATGTGTGGATGAGGGTCTCGGTGGCCTGAGGTGAGAGGCAGTGGTGGAGCCGGGCAATAATAAAATAGCATAGATTTATGCTGTTATTCAGGAAATATTCAATCAAGAAGCATTTATTCACTGCTGTAGACATTTCGCCTTCTTGAATGAGGAAGTCAACACATATATGAATCCAGTTTATTTCTTTGTAATTCAATTTATGTCAATAATAACGTTTTTAATTCAAAAATAATTTTTTTAACCTCAGAATTAAGTTCTAAATAAGTTGCATTTGATACATATTTCAAAGTTTGAACTCTTCCTATTGAATTACACATAGAGGTACTATATTTGTTTTCTGTTTATTTTTGTGATCATTCATGAGTTTCAAATATTCCTTCTGGTCCAAATGCATCAAGGAAACATTTGTGGCACTAATAGAAGTAACATCAATATCAAATAAAGCATTTTGTTTTTAAAAAATTACAACTTATTACTGGAACTTATCCCTAAAACTACTCAATTTGTCTGGCTTTCACATTCACCGCTACAAAACCACTGCCAATGCCAACAAGGAAGTAAAGTACCACCAAGTAGAATATCCTCTCTCAACCCCCTCCTCCCAGTAGAGGAATACAAGTCTTTTTCAGCACTTTCAGGCTCGGTGAATACAGGTTCACTCTGGCACTAAGTGTTCCAGTGCTCAGCAACACAACAACAAAGTTATTTTTAACATCTGCTGCATGATAAAAAGCCATATCCATGTGTAGAAGCCAGCACCTAGAGCCAGTCATTGCTGCTAGTTTATCTGCATGCATGAAATTATTCCATTCATTTGAAAACAATTTATATGAAAACGAATGGGACTTTGGATATTTGGGTTTTTGGTTGGATCATGCATTTTGTTAGGCGCAAGTTGAATTTTTTAACTTTTTTAAAATATATTTTGTATAACCTGGCAGTTTCTGTGGACCTGAATTTTTCTGCTTTTAAATATTGCAAAATGTTTTTCATGATGGGTGGCTCAATCCTATTTTATGAAACTTTTTTATGATTCTTTGATCATCCAAGGCTAAAGAGAGCGGGTTTGCACCTTTCTGGTATTAGTGCAAAAATACAATACAACACAACATTGTTGGAGGAGGAGAGTGAATCACCACTCAACATCTCACCATCCAATTATCCTTTCTGAAAGACAAATAAGATAAAATTTGAACTCTGCACTGGTGATTAATTAACTACTCTGAGACGAGAGCATACCGATTTAACCAGCTCGTTTACTTTTCATGCCAACACCCAGTGAGATACACAATCCATAGCTGGGTAAATACATAATAATCCTTGCATTTGATGTTGTGTTGTATTGTACTTTTGCACTAATACCAGAAAGGTGCTTTTCACATCTTCTAGATGTCTCAAAGCGCTTCACAGAACATACTGCAAAGTGAATTGACTGTATATGTGTGGGTGAAACGTGACAGCCAATTGCGCAAAGCTGTGTCCCACAAACAGTCGTGGATTGAAGTGACCAATTTTATTATTGTTTTTATATTTATATAGACCAATTTTATTATTGCTTGTATTATAAATATAATACTTTTGCTTTGTGACCTTATTCCTAGCAAGCAGTATAACATATATCACATTGTGGAATGCTGCAGAGATACAGTAATCCTTATTTTAAAATCTACTAAAATCACAACAAAATACATTTGCATTCATTTTATACTCTCCCACTGTCTTCTCCCTCCAAGCATTTTGTCTCAGATAGTTTTCTTTGTAAATGAGTTATCGAAAAGCCACTGAAATTGTATTGCTATAATCTAGTTACTGTGAGACTGCAATTCTAAACCACAGTTCAAAGAAATGAACAGCTGTATATACTGTAGTGAGGTAGTGCTGCTGAGATTGGATCAAGATTGTTGGAATAAGAATCACACATCTGTAACAGTAGGAGCCCATGCAATCCACTCCTGCTGTATGCTTGTTGTGTAAATTGATTCTGTAAGCACCAGTCCACATAGCAATGTAACAGGACAGTTCAGCAGTTCAGTTTCAGCATCAATATCAAGTTTGCTTAATACAAGAAATGGCAGTAATATACAGTATCTTTTCCTGGCACTTAAGTGGGTGGATGTGTGGTCCTCAAATGTAGTGACAGAACACTGATCTCTGAATATTCATTGATTTTCTGTAGACTAAATCAGGTCACACTGATTGTATTAATGGTTGACATAAGAGATCTGGATTGTATTTCAAAGGCTTAAGAAATGTTCCTGCTTTTTTTTTAAAAAATGACATCATCAGCCCCCAAAGGCTATGGTTATGAAACGTTTTGCAGTGGGCGTTATGCACCTCCAAGAATTTGTTACTTGTGACTGGCCACCAGTATGACGCCTCTTCATTCACTTTGCAATTACTTGTGTTTCCTGCCTGTGCCTCATTATCAATGCAACAACAACAAGATTCCATTTATAGAGCGCCTTTCACGTCGGGAGGACGTCCCAAGGCGCTGAATGCAAGTCACCAACTTCAGCTTTGCTCTTCACAGTAGCTTTGCTCTTCACTGATGCAATGCATTGAAATCCATTCACAATCAACAACAACAACTTTCATTTATATAACGCCCTCCATGCCGGGCAGTATCCCAGAGCCAACATCACTCAAAATGTTTGTGCTAAAGAACGATAATGGTGCAAATGGTGGGAGCCCTGCATTCTGCTGTGCTTCATTTTACACTCTTTGAGAACAGAATACAATTTTATGGTCGTCCATACATTTACAAACCTTGGTGACCTAAAGCAATGTATTCTCTGTTGGTCTGTAAGTGCTTCCCGCTACCTCGTGAAGGGCACTATGTAAATGCGAGTTGTTATTGTTTGTTGTTGTCTGTAAATGTACAGACCTTGTAGGTGTGATTGTGTAGTGCTGGTCCCATTGTAAACACGCTGTCAAGATCTATATAGTTATGCCCGTCAGAGAATACATTAAACCAATGTCCAATCTGACTGCTCAGGTAGATGTTAAAAATTTTATGACACTATTCAAAAAGAGAAGGAAATTTCTCCTGGTGTCACTAACAAACATCCAGAAATAGATGTGTCATTGCTTACTTCATGGCTGTTAGTAGCATATACCTGTGCCCAGATTTGCTGTTGCCAACAAATGCACAGTCACTACATTTTACAGAAATTCCCTTTGAGTGCCTCGAGATGTTTCGACAATGATAGGTGCAATATCAAATGCAATGATTATTTTTGTTATCATACTCTTGGTCGTTGCAGTCCTTAAATATACCAACACCTGGAGATTAATCCCTAGAAGTCTACGTATTTTAAATTCCCTGAACCTCTTCATCAGAATCATGAACAAGTTGGCTTAAATTGATTTCCGTTTCTTCTATCTGCCTTGTTTAATTCTAAACACTGATTAGAATTAATGATCCATCCATTTCAGACAATGATTCGATTAGAGTTGTAGCAAGACTCTTAATGGTGTATGGAGTCAGACTTCACTCTGCCCTACACAAGACATACTCTGCTCTGAGTGTCTGCTTTACCTGAGTAAGTGCTCCAGGAGAGAGGTGACTGGTTGAATGGTAACAAATATATCTGCAGTGATGGCAAGCAACTAAGATCATCATCTTCACACATGCAGGATTCTGAGTAATGGGAGGTTTTGGTCTTGGTTGAGATATGGCTCAGCACAAAATGATTCCCACCACAATACAATAGCAAATAGCATACTTATGGGCAGGAATTATGTTCTAGTAGGACAGATTTCCTGGTTACTCAGAATGCCACATATTTGATGATGGTGATTTCAGAAAGATGTTTAAGGCAGAAGTGCCTGTTACCTTGTAGCCTGGATTTATTATCTTCATTTAAAGAGCTGATAGCTATCTCAATGGTAGCTTCAGGGCTGGTATAAATCAATGCAGTTGGGTATAGAGTTGCTTTGTTAACAAACAACCCAGTCTCTCAAATGTTCTTGCTCTTACTCTTCTTCATTCGCTCCCTGGTGGGTTCCGTCAACACCAATGGCTCTTGAACGATGACCGCTTTATACTTTTTATCCAGGAGCTCCACTTCCAGGTCTTGACCCACTTTGCTGAGTGCAACAGGCACGTACGCAAACGCCACACTCTGCCCAGTGTTGTAACTGTAGGCTCCGGATGTGGTGTTACCTACAACCTGAATACAAAACAATGTGATTTTACAGGCTGATCTTGCCATTCAGAGAGATCACACACAAAACCATTTTGCACCCAGCCTTGTGAAGCACTTTGAGACATCCTCCTGAAATGAAAGGCGCTATACAAAATCTAAAGGTAATTATTATTATTTCTGTGGTTTTGTATTTTGAGGGTGTAAATTCTTGCTATTTTCTTCCCAGGCAACAACTGAAGTCAAATGGCAAAGTTTCCAGCTCCTACTTTTTCACTACTTAAGATAATGTAGGTGTTAGCTTGGCTCAGAAGCAGTTTCATCTCTGGGTGCTTCTTGAATGCCCAAAGGCACTTCCAATCTGCAGGCTATAGGATGTCCACCATTAGACTGGAGAATGGGATGCAATCACTCCTGGGCATCTCTTACAAGAGCAACTTGCATGTAAGGATAATTATTAATTATTTCTGTGGTTTTGTATTTTGAGGGTATAAATTCTTCTATTTTCTTCCCAGGCAACGCACCAACCGAAGTCAAATGGCAAAGTATATAATAATATAATAATCCTTGCATTTGATATAGCGCTTTCCACGTCTTCTAGACGTCTCAAAGTGCCTCACAGAATATACTGTAAAGTGAATTGACCGTATATTTGTGGGCGAAACGCGGCAGCCAATTGCGCACAGCAATGTCCCACAAACAGTCGTGGATTGAAAATGACCAATTTATTATTGTTTTTTTTGTTTTGGAGGGATTATTATTAGGCGTGTGGAGTAAGGAAACTTGCCCAGGGTTTCGCTCTGCCTGGAATTGAACCCAGGTGTCTTGCTTGCAAGGTGAGTGCTCTAACCACAGGACTCTACAAATATATAGTGCCCTACACGCTGAATGGGGCTATTAGTGGTCAGAATTGGACTACACCATTTGTTAATTCTTGCACTGACCTTGCCTTGGTGCCAAATGCTCTCATTTCCTTCAGGGTCAATGTCATCGGTTTGCAAAGTGAGGTATACCAGCTTACGCTGAAGCCCCTCCTCCTTGATTTTTCTCAAAGCTTGCTTGCCTATGAACTCCGCCGGCTGAGTGAAGAAAATACAAATTACAGATTAACACTACGCACTTCAATCATTTCAATTAAACTGCAGTCAGGAAAGACTGGACAATAAGGTGACTGTGGGCAGTCCAGTACTGTGGCTGGTACTGGAAAGCCGTGTGACTTGAGGACCATCTTGTATTTAGCTGCCCAGAGAAAACAGTTCCTGTGTGCAGCCGCTAAAAGACTGTAAACTTTCAGCCTAGGCCAATGCTGGGAGGTTACAATAAGATGTTCAACCGGGTTGGTCCACAGGGATGGTACGAATGTCATAAGCAAACACTGGATAATTCATTTTCACCTTATTTAGCTTTATGAAGTAGTCCAATCCAGCTTCAAAGGCATTTGTGTCGAGGTTCATCTGAAACACAAAGAAAACTCCATGAACACTTCTTTATTACAAATACAACAAATGCATGGCTAGACCTCTTCTAATGTGGCCAAGACAACCTGTTCATGTGGATGTTAAATATCCCATGGCACTATTGGAAAAGAGAAGGGAGTTTCTCCCGGTGTCCTGGCCAACAATCCCCCAAATAAAATTGATCACTCACTTTATGGCTGTTTGGGGAACATTACTGTGTACAAGTTGGCTGCTGCATTCGCCCACGAAACACACAGTCACTCCACTTTAACCTGTGAAATGCTTTGGGACATCCTCTCGATATGAAAGGCTCTATACCAAATGTAAGGGTTGTTATTGCAGGGCCACTGAAAGCCACTGAGATCTCTCTGTATTACAAACAACTTGATTTATGAATCATCTGTCTTCAGGTGCATTCATCTATCAATCATCTGTCTCCGGGTCTGTCTGTGGTGATCACAAGGCTCAGAAAAAGCTATTCATACAATAGCTTCACACAACATCCATGACCTATACTCTACTGTATTGTTTTGTTGAAGGAAAAATCCAGAGCCATTTAACCCCTCACATTGCCTTAGTGAATGACAAACACATTTTTAGCACTTAATCACCACCTCCTGCATGGAAGGAGCTATATGAATGCAAGTTGTTGTTGTTGCTGAGTGTGTATTTAACTCATGCACAGGTAGAAATGGAACAGTGAAAATAGGACCAGGAAGGAATTGCCACTGGATAGTATGCCGTTTGGAAGAAGAGGCAGAAAACTCAAGATAACTCATGAACTCAATTAATAAGCAGATCATGAGGACACTCTTGACCATGTGATATTAATTAACTTAAATTGATTTAAATAACATGAGACGGCAGAGCTCCTAACTTAGAAATGAACCACATCATAAGTGCTAATTGTTAATAGAGGAAGCATGCTCTTCCACGTCACAAAGCATAGCCCTGAGCATATTATACAGATCTGTAAATTAAAAATGTAGTCAAAAGTTCGCTCCAGCTGCTGTAATAATAAAGTATAGTTGCCACAACCATGAGTATAAATTAGTGTCAGGGCTAGGGAGGAGTGGTGGGCACAGGAACCATGCTGGAGGTAGAGAATGGTTAGCAGGGGCACCTCCTTGGTCATTCCTTCCCTTTTAACCAAGGTCATAGTTGCTGAGTCCCACGTATTTGCCTTTGTTTAATGTTTCTCCCTTACACCAGTGCTTCATCAAGTGTTAAGCCTCAATTACACTTTCATCCTTCTTGTGCCCGCTCTATCCCACACTCTCTCTCCCTCAATCCATCTTCCTTTACCCCCACTCTCATACCCATTAACTTGGATATCTCTCTCCCTTCAACCCTTGTCCACTCCAACCTGGCTTCAGGTTTGTTCCTACCTCCCTTCTTTCTGGGGCTAGGACTCACCCATGGCCCTTCTGTTTTGACAATGAAAAACCAAGGTCCCATCTGCCTGTTCAAGTGGATGTTAAAGATCCCAAGGCACTATTCAAAACTACAAGGGAGTTTCACCCAATGTCCTACCCAACACTCCCAATAAAACTAATCATTAACTTCATGGCTATTTGTGTGCAAATTTGGCTGCACATTTGCCTACAAAACACTCAGTCACATCACTTTGCAGTATGCAAAATACTGCAGATGTTGAAATCTGAAACAAAACATAAGTTGCTGGGAACACTCAGCAGGTCAGGCAACAATTATGGAGAAAGGAAAGTGAGTCAACGTTTCAGGTCCACGACCCTTCGTCAGAATGCGCTTCGTTGAGTTCAGACGAAGGGTCATGGACCGAAACTTTGGGGGCTCGAGTGGAGTATAAACACTGGTATGGACTAGTTGGGCCGAATGGCCTGTTTCATCCTACGTAATTCTTTAAATGACACAATGGAGTTGTGATGTGCTATGCCATTGCTGTGTAAGATCACTCAATCTGAGTGCCTGATGTCTGCCACAGAGGGCAGCTCACATTGCCTGTTTGCCCTCTCATCAGGACTTTGCTCAGTGACACAAGGAATCCTATAGAAAACAAGGGATGACAATAGTTAATGCAGCTATTTCTCCTGCTCTATTCTCCTCCCCTGCTTCCCTGAAGTTGACTGAAAGTATGGTGCAAAAGGTCTTAAGGCGGGGAAGTAGAGGGTGAATGAAGGGCAGAATGGATTTCCAGAGAACAGGGCAGAATGTCTGAAAGCACACTGACAGTAGATTGGGCTAGGATTGGAGGACCAATGCAATTGGTAATACTGTATATACCATAATCAGTTATTATTAATATTGAATAGAGCGGAGGCGGAGCCTGGGCCTAGCGATCAGCATGAAAGGAGCGGCTGAGGTAAGCTGGGAATTGTCGGAGCGACGAAAAAAAAACAAAAAGTGACGTTGGTGTGACTTCATTTTCAACAGCAGAACCAGGGAAACATCGGCAACAAGGAACTGTCAGAAACTACAACACCGACGGCAAATTAAAACAAAAAAGCAAAAATAATATATATATTTAAGACACTGTGTGAGAAGATGATGTGGCAAGTGAAATGCGAGGACTGTGATATGTGGGAGTTAATGGAGGGTGCCCTGAGCCTGGGCGACTTCATCTATAGCAAGTGTCTGCAACTCAGGAAGCTCCAGCTGAGAGTAACTGAGCTGGAAGCCGAGGTGCAGACACTGTGCTCCATCAGCGACAGTGAGAGGTTCCTGGACAGTATGATGGAGGAAACCATCACTCCCCTGAGGCTCGGGAGATGCTTGCATCTGCTTAATGGTCAGGGACAGGATAGTTTTGTCTGTCTACTAGATTTATTAGACAAGATTTGCCTTTAACAAATCTGTGCTGGCTGTCCCTAATTAACCAATAATCTTGTCTAACAAATCTAATAGAATTTTTCGATGAGGTAACTGAGAGGGTGGATAAAGGTAGTGCAGTTGATGTAGTTTATATGGACTTTCAAAAGGCATTTGACAAAGTGCCACATGAAAGATTTGTAAGAAAGATAGAAGCCCATGGTATAAAATGGACATCGGCAGCATGGATCCAGAACTGGCTGGGAGACAGAAAGCAGAGAGTTGTAGTGAATGGCTGCTTTTCTGACTGGAGGGAAGTGTACAGTGGCATTCCTCAGGGATCGGTATTAGGACCACTGCTCTTCTTAATATACATAAATGATCTGGACTTGGGTATAGCAAGTACCATTTCCAAGTTTGCGGACGACACAAAGTTAGGTAGGGTGGTAAACAGTGAGAAGGATAGGAGCCAACTGCAGGAAGACATAGACAGTATGATAAAATGGGCAGACACATGGCAGATGAGTTTCAATGTGGAGAAATGCGAGGTAATGCATTTTGGAAGAAAGAATGAGGGGAGGGAATATAGGCTGGTAATACAATCTTAAGGCGGGTAAAAGAACAGAGACCTAGGGGTGCAGGTAAATTATCCTTGAAGGTGGCAGAACAGGTAGATAAAGCTATAAAAAGGGCATATGGGATACTAGGCTTTATAAATAGGGGCATAGAGTACAAGAGGCAGGAGGTTATGATTAACCTATATAAAACACTGGTTAGGCCTCAGTTAGAATACTGCACCCAGTTCTGGGCACCACACTATAGGAAGGATGTTAAGGCATTGGAAAGGATGCAGAGGAGATTTACAAGAATGGTACCAGGAATGAGGGACCTTGATTATGAGGAAAGGCTAGAGAGGCTGGGATTATTCTCATTGGAGCAGAGAAGGTTAAGAGGAAACCTAATAGAGGTTTTCAAAATCATGAGGGGATTTGATAGGGAATAATTGTTTCCACTGGTGGGTGTGTCGGTGACTCGAGGTCACAGATTTAAAATGGTCTCTAAAAGAAGCAGAGGGGAGGTGAGAAGAAAGTTTTTCACACAACGAGTTGTTTGAATCTGGAACGCATTGCCTGAAAGGGTGGTTGAGGCCGATTCGATAACAACTTTTAAAAACGCGGTGAATGAGTATTTGAGGAGGACGGGTTTGCAGGGTTATGGGGAAAGGGCTGGGGAGTGGGATTGACATTACATTGCTCTTTTCAAAGAGCCGGCACAGCCTCTTTTTGTGCTGTACAATTCTATGATTAAAGACATTTGATTCCCTCTTTGGACACGACTTAGGGAACTTGCAAACTAAACCCTATGTTATGTCCCATATACCCTGGGGCTTTCCTTTAATCCAATAAAGGAACCATTTCATGTCCCATCAATACCAACCTCTGTTCCCCAGACTCTGAACGCCTTCTCTAGACGCAACGAGTTCATAGCATATGCTCCAAAGTTGTCAATTCCAAATTCCTGCCCTGCTTCCATGATAGCATTGTAGAGGGCAGCAGTGTCCTGCTGTCTGAGGTACAGCTCCCAGCCAAGCTCACCTGCAATTAAAAATGAGGAGTAAGCCAACCCTTAGCCATACTTAAAGAAGACATACCACTGACACCCCCTCTTTGTTTCAAACTAAGAACAGTGCAACCAAATGTCTATTCTATACCCTTTTGTCTTCACAGAGCTGGTTTTCCCACTAATGTAGCCAGTTTGAAAGTGATTTATTTGCAAATCTGTGACTCAGTGAAAAAACAGCAAAAACATTGTTCACTTGTGAAATTATGTTAATAGAAATCACACATAGATCACTCACCCGTCCTACCAATAGGAGTAGTTGCCTTTTCAATGTACCAAAATTTATGTTCTAAAATTTTGCCAGCTGAAAATGTTGTTTACCATTGAACTTGCTGCTGTGGAGATCTCCTACTATACTGCTGCCATCTGAGCCCCAGGTTAGTCAATACTGTGCGTCTGACACCCACCTGTGAAGGAAATCCTCATAGCATTGAGGTGAATGCCAGCCAGAGTGACAGGCTTACACTGCAGGAATTTAAACGCTGATCCACTCAAATCTGCCTTTGTGAGTTTCTGCAGAACCTTGCGAGCAAATGGCCCAGTTACACCCAGCACCGCCATCTCATCCGTAATATTCTGGATGTCGACCTCGTATCCACCACTTATTGCCTTTTCCTCTATATACCTGGATTAATGAAGACCGAAGTTTAGGTGGGTAGTAAGGCTCCAGGCACTCCTTTTAAATAACATTAAAAAACACATGGGAAAACACACACTATTTATACTATCCAAGAAAGGACTTGCATTTGATATCCTTTGTCATATCTTTTATGAAACATTTTAAAGTGTTTTACAAGTTATTACCTTAAAGTATAGGCAAACACAGCTGCCATTTACACCAGCAACGTCCCACAGACAACTATGAGGTGAATAATCGATTCAGTTGAAAGATTATTGGCCAGAAAATGAGAAGAAACACTGTTCCCTTTTCTTTTTTATATACATTTTGTGTGTCCAATTATTTTTCTAATTTTTCTCACCACTGGTAACAACAAAAATAACTTGCATTTATAGGACCTTTCACATGGGTAGCATCTCAAATTGCTTAAAATGGCATATGTTTCTGTACTCCTGGTTTGACCTCCTTGTTTGAGTTTGGTACCATGGGTTCTGATTGCCCTCTGCTTCCCTGTGCAAGTGACCATTCTTATCTTTGGAAGTTCCATGTGTAGGTGGGATGCATGGAAATCCCAGTTTGGTTTGGATACTCTTAAGCATGGTGATGGGTTTCCGCATGTATGGGATAGTGTCAGTAGGCCATCCAACTGTAGAGGGCATCACAGCCAAGCCTAACCTCTTCCCAACAGGCTGCCATACACACACACAACCAGTAGAGGATGCTGTAGAAGAATCAGGAGCAGAAACCATCTGCTTTTCCCTCCCTAATTGTGGGAAGACTGGGGCTAATTTAACCTCCGTCCATAGCCTGGCTGAAACCAGCAACTCCCAGCACTGACTGGTCTTCAAAAGAGATGATGAGAGGTCCCATTTGCCTGTTCAGGTGGATGTTAAAGATCCCATGGCACTATTCGAAAAGGGAAGAGAGTTTCTCCCAGTGTCGTGGACAACAATCCACCCCTACATGCAATTGATGATTCACTTCATGGCTGTTTTGGGGGCGTTGCTGTGTGCAAATGGTTTACCGCATTCATCCACATAAACAAGTCATCCCTTTAGAGTAAATCCCATGAAGCACTTTGAGACGACCTCCTAATGTGAAAGCCACTGCCAAATGTAAGGATTATCATTTATTATTAAGGAGGTCATTCAGTTAATGGCTGTTTCTATTTTATCGTTGTGTGCAAATGAGCTGCGGTGTTCGCCTACAAAAACACAATCAGTATATTTGATATACAGCATATCCTGTGAAACGCTTTGAGATGTTTTGACAAGGTGATAAGTTGCTATATGAAGTACAGGTATTATAACCTGGGGTGATTTGGTGCCATTCAGCATATTGGTGATTCTTAACATTGCTCGCCTCCGTCACTACCTCTCCCCTCAGGCCACCGAGACCCTTATTCATGCTTTCATCACATCCAGGTTAAACTGTCTGCACACTGGACTTCCCAACTCTTCCCTCCACAAGCTATGGACCATCCAGAACTCTGCAGCTCGTGTCCCCCTCCACTGGCTCCGTATTTTCAAGAGGATTGAGTTCAAGATCCTTGTCCTCCCTCTTAAATCTCTCCATGGTCTTGCCTCATCCTACCTCTATGATCTTCTAAAACCCTACCAACTCCCACAACCCCACCCACCCTCACCCACTCACTCTTCTCAGCAGGCACTTGCTTTCTGACTCACCATTGGTGCCCCCCATTCTCTGGAAATCCATCCTGGAATCTCTCTACCTCGCTCCTTTACTCACCTTCAACATCCGTCTCAAGACCTTCCTCTTTCATCTTGATTTCAGTCATCTACACCCCACCCACCTCTCCTTGGCCCCCACACCCCCCAAATCCCAGTCCCAGTTCAGGTGCAAACTCTCGAATGTTCAGCACTTTGGGACATCCTCCCGACATGACATATGTTATAAATGTAATTTGTTGTAGTTGTATTGACCAATTGTTCTATCAATAACTGCAGTTTCTGAGACAGTCACCAGGAGGTGATGCTGACCAGCTGGTAAGCTTTGTTTGCCCATAAGAAACCTGGCGATAGGCCAATAGCAATAACAGCTTGCATTTATACAGTTCCCTTCAGGCGGGGCAGCATCCCGGAGGCCAATACCAGTGTGTGAAGCACTACTACAGCAGAAGAAAGTAGAAGGCAATCAAGTTTGTGCTCAGTGTTAGCCATACGATCACTTACTTGTAGGAAAAAGGATCCATTTTGTCAAGGACGCACAGCACAGATTAGCAAGGGGAGTTCAGGCTTGACCAATTTATTGGAGTTTTATTTGTGATTTTATTGATGTCAAGGTGGATGAGGGAAATGTAGTGGATGTCAAGCCAGTTATGCAATTTTCTTAGATCTTTTAATCCAATTCACCCTTCTTTTCTCCATATTCTACAATACCATTACTTCCCAGGTATCTATCTTTCTTTATCTATATCTTATCCCAGCCTATAAACCGTATTGACTTTGATGCTCTAGTGAGGAATGCAGCCATTCTCCGATGGGCACTGCAGAAAATTAGGAAGGAAAGCAATACAAGCAGAGTACGATTTTTTTTACCTTTTAAAAAAATGTTTAAAATGACAAATATCTTGCTCACCTGAGGTCATGGAGCTCAGAGCCTGATCCTGTCACAAGCAGGAACTCTCCTTCTGATAGATGACTGATTGTCATCTCAGCATAGACCTGGCCTCTAGCAGTAATCATGTGACTGATATTTATGTGGCCAGCCTATAGAGGTGAAAGTAAGATGAACAAAATGGAAGAATACATTTAATATAAGGCAGCTAAAATGGTCACACTTCCCCTGCTCAGCCCTTAATCAATACTGTGAACAAAACAAACAGAAAATATTCATTTTCTCTCTCTCTCTGTCACTTTGGTCAGGTTTTCTCATAGTTGCTTCTTTTTGTTTATTTTGAACAAAGTATCTTCACAGCAAAATAGCTAACCTTGAAGATTGCGCAGGCGGCAAAAGGTTCAAACTGTTCATTCACACCCTACAACAGGAACCTAGCCGCCCAGAGAAGAATATGAAATATCTTGCAACCTGGTATTTCTGCAACAGTTGGCAAAAGACTAAGATTTGAGTCAGAAAGACCCTGAGGTTATTAAAGTTCCTTCCGTGAAAAAAAGTTAGCTTTCACATTCTGGAGAATTCTCAATGTATAGAGAACATTCATTGTGCCATAAGATATTTGGGAACGGGAGTCGGAGAAGGACAGAAAAACAATGTATGAGTGGGACAGAGCTGCAGGTCTCGCTACGGATTTGTCCATTTTTTATAACTATTTTTCATTTTAACTTTCCTTCCCCAAACAATTTTTGAACTTCACATACTTTTGTATGGCAATAAACTTCTATCTGTAATGCAAGAGCATAAAAATTGTCTTGCTTCAGTGACATTTCCCATCACCAGGCTTTCAAAACGATAAACAAAGTAAATGATCTCTTAAGCAGATACACTCAATTGTTCATTGTTTGCCTACAAAATACACAATCACTTCATTTTACAGTAAATCCTTTGAGACGTCCTCCCGAAGTGAAAACTACAGCACCAAATGCAACGATTATTATTCTTTAGTGGGAATGTAAATTGATATTGCAACTAAAACAATATTAAAGATTTCCAGCTGACACCATCTACTACGTAAAGTTCATTCAATAATGCTCTGTATACAACATTTTTGAGAGTTAACTGTCAGCAAGACAAGAGTCTAAATTATATGAATCTGCAGCAGTCATAATTTCTCACATTCACAGTTCCAGGTCTGTAACGACAACAACAACAAAATTACATTTGTAAGGCGCCTTTCATGTCGGAAAGATGTCCCAAGGCGCTGAACAGTCAGGGACAGGACCCGAGCATGGGGTGGGGGCAGGGTTGGGGTGAGGGAGGTAGAGGGGGTAGGAGGGCGGCTGAAGGCACGGTCGAAAAAGGGTCTTGAGGACGAGAATTTTCAATTTTATCCTCTGAGGGATAGGGAGCCAGTGGAGCTGGCGAGGGTGGGGTCAATGGGGTCACGGAGCCTGGTGAGGGAGAGGACATGAGCTGCAAAGTTCTGGATGATTTGCAGCTTGTGGAGGGAAGAGTTGGGCAGGCCGACAAGGAGGAGTTTCCATAGTCGAGCCTTGAGGTGACGAATGCGTGTATGAGGGTTTCGATGGCCTGAGGGGTGAGGCTGTGGTGGAATCGGGCAATGTTGTGGATGTGGGGGAAGGCAGAGCGGGTCATAGCACGGATATGGGGGAGAAAGGACAATTGAGGGTCGAACATTGGTGGAGTGTGCAACCGTGGATGCTGATACTGCCGGTGTCTGAGGTGCGGAGCGCTGGCACGAGCCAATCAGGAGAGCCTCAGTCTTGCTGACATTCAGCTGTAGAAAGTTGGCTCTCATCCAGGACTTGATGTCAGGACGTCAGTTGTCCTGGAATCGAGGGTGGAGACAGAGAGAGAGTTGGGTGTCATCCGCGTCCAGGTGGAAGCTGACCCCATGTCTGTGGATGATATCACCAAGTGGGAGCGCGTAGAGGTTGAAGAGGAGGGGACCGAGACAGAGCCCTGAGGAACACCACACGAGACTGTGCGGGGCCTGGAAGAGAAACTATTGGCGGAGACAAATTGGAGACGTGCAACTATAGCTTACCTTTGGCATAACATTTGCAAACAGATGATCCAGGAGTTTTATGGAGTCCTTTCCTTTCACAGTAAATTTACCAAAGGGTGTAAGGTCCATGACTCCCACTTTCTCCATTACATGTTTGCACTCTCGGTGAACTGGCTCAAACCAGTTTGTGCGACGAAAACTGGGTCTGTGATGGATTAAGTAATTTATTTCTTTATTGAGTCCATGGTTTTCCTGATATTCTACATGGTTTTCCTCATAACTATAACAACTTTTAGGACACTTCAAGCGCGATAAGTGTCTTGGAGTGCATAAACAGCTGAAGAAGTTATGAAGCTTGTGAAAGGAAGTCACTTCTGAACATGAGCACCTCCTTTATTCGAAAACAAAACTTACAACCACAGGACTTTTTCTTATGTAAGTCATTAATCAAGCAACTCTGGGCCTCAAACACATCTCTGCAAAAGGTCATCTTGCACTTCAAAGGATGAAGTGTACAATAATACCTATATGAAAGCAGTGCTGCAACTTAAGGCTTTCGGCCAAAACACTTAAATCAAGAGTGATTCTTGGAATCGCTGACTTAATTATTTACAAGTATTCCCCAAATCTCTAGTATTTTAGAAAAATAAATTAAAAAATGCTAATTTTGTTTTTGGCAAAAGACCTGTTTTTTCAGTGTTCTAAATGAGATATATAAATTGCATTTCCACATCTGGTTTTGTGCTCTTGAAATGCTGGATGGTGATTTTCATAGGATTTATTTCGATCGCAATTACAAAAATAATATCCAAATGAATCTGTCTATAACTGGCATTACTGCAGTCCTTGTAACTGCCTCACTCACCAGCATTATTATTGTTTATTATTTAACAAATTTAACATTAGATTTTCATAAATCAATGGAATTAAATGTCCTTGGCTCAGGACGCTGAAACCACAATTTACCTTACAGATACACAAATCTGGTACAGTATTGAGAATTTCAAAGCCTGCTGAATATTTACCAAATTAATCCTGAAGCAGATGGCAAAGGCTACACAAACTTAGCACTTGTGTTTTCAAGGCCCCATAAAAAAACACTTCATTTTTTTGAATTACTAAATATAAATGTGCTGGAGAGCCATGCATACACTATAGACCAATGTTAGAATCTGACCAAAAAAAGGAGTTATAAAAATCAAAGAAGGTTCACATTTGAACGAAAGTGATATTTGGAATAGCATCTGAGGCCAACCTAGAAATTGCAGTTTCCCTTTCTGATATGTCTTTATCTCTCCCCAGTCAATCTCCTGAGCAAATAGTTCCAAAAGCACAAAACAAACAAAACAATAACGAAGGTCAGAGGAACTTTACTTTACAGCCACACACTTCTAGATCATTCCTATGTGGTACATTATTGTATCTTTCATGTTATCTGAAATGTTGTACACTGACCAGCGCCTTGGGACGTCCTCCTGACGTGAAAGGCGCTATACAAATGTAATCTTATTGTTGTTGTTATTTGATCTTGTCCAATAATAAAGTAGTTTTATCTCATGATTATCAGCAAACTGACTGAAACAATCACACATTCAGCCAATTATTAGAGGGACAATTATTTTAATGAGCAAAACTAATATGTCCTCTTTGGCTAAACGTATGCTAGTTTAATCAAAATTGGAAGTATTTAACAACAATGAAAACAATAATCTTTGCATTTGATATAGTGCCTTTAATGTTAAAATGTCTCACGAGGAATTGTTGCCAACTGTAATAAGAGCCTATTTGCACAGGAATGGCCCACAACAGCCATGAACAGGAAAACAACTTGTCAAAAAAATGCCTGAAAAATCAGATAAAAGATCTTTACTGACTTTAGAGATTCAAAAGAATTGGGTTCTTTTATCTAAAAAAAATGGAGTCACAAACCAGAAGTTGCTGTTATTAGTCCTTTAACTTACAGCCTTTTGTTCATGGGATAGCCAATGTACAGTATTTAATTTTTATTAAATGTTAAAAGGTCGCATTACACTTTGAAATCTTTGTGTGTCTTTCTGCCTTTCTCTCCCTCATCTTCTATCTCCATCCCCCTCTCTTTGCCTATTGTTTCTTTCTGTAGATTTGTTTTCTCTGTGTTCTTCATTCTGTCTGTTCTTCACTCTTTTGTTTCTCTTTTGTCAGTATTTCTCTGCAACCTTTGTCTCTGTCAGTTCCGAATTTTCTCACCTTCATTTATTCTTTTCCACATCCCTCTTTCCTAACATTCTCACTCTCCTTCACATCTCTTTCCCACTGAGTCATTCACACTCTTCTGCTCTTCAGCCTCCAAAATGATCCTCCAAAATGGTTTCTTATAAAGATGCTTAATGGAGTAGAGAAAGTAAGCGCAGAACAACTTCAGATATGCCAAGACAGCAGGACAAGAAGGCACAAATTCAGGGTTGTGAAACGTAAGTTTAGAACAAACACCAGGAAGTATTTATTTAAGAGGAAATCAACAGTTGTTTTCCATGTGCTAATTGTCTTCCACCTTCAGCTTAGCTACTCTTTTCAGTCAATAAACTTTTAGCATTTATTTGTATCAAGATTTTGGTTTTCCAGCAATTATTGTACCTTACTCTTCCAGATTAGAAAATGTTGTTAGAGACAATGAACTTCATTAGAACTTCAGAGTTCTCAAAAGCATTAATTCATTTTATTATTTTAAATGAAATGTTGATGATATTTCTTTAACATCCAGATTTGTTTAATTTTTCTTTATAAACCCTATACGACATTCAACACCAGTTTAAAAAACTGCATCTTTAAAAACTAAAAAAAAGGGTCTATGTACAGAGATGTGTTTCAGTTCTTTAAACATTCATGTCATATTTTAAGCACTTTGAGACATCCTCCTGTCATGAATGGTACTATATAAATATAAATTGTAATGTATAGACATTCAAGCGGGTTTGGAACATGATACTGAATCATATCATATCAGTTAGGTGGCGCAGAAATGTTCAAATCAGATTTATTCAGATAGTCTTATCTGTCTTAATTAGGTGCATTCTTCACAGCTGAGTTCATAGAGGCACTAGAAAAGCAGTTCTCTAAGACAAACCGCTGGTTTTCTCTCCACAGAGTGTTTACACCGAGATGTTCAGTATTTCCTTACCTATATCCGGTTTTATCTCCAGGTTTGTAAAACCAATGTGGCTGCTCCCAGCCGGCATGGAATCCCATAGATGACTTGGACTTTAGGGTTTCATAAACCCCACTTATTCTTTCTGTTGGTCTTCCTCCAAATCGTTCCTCTTTGGGGTATCCAACTAAGCGGGGAGGATAGAGATGCATAACTTTCTGTAACTTTTGTAAATCTTAACCATTGCTAAGCCTATTATTCACTATCTTCTATTCTTTTCTTAAATGGTTTGCCATTACATTCTATAATCCTTCTTTAACTGATCTTATTCAGTTGTTCACTAAAATGACTTGTTCGCACTCTCCTCTGCTTTATTGACCTGTCTTCTAATATTGCCTTTCTTGACCCTTGAACAAACTTCCAAATTCCCACCATCTATTTCCAGTGCCCACAGTGTTATCATTGTATAATAGTACAGGCTGGTAGGAATTTCATACCACATTCACAATCCGAAGTTGTAAAATTTTCTAACATCCAGCTAGGTGGGTGGAGACACCTCAGTCAAGGGCTGAAATTCTAGTTGGCATTTCACATATTGATTGACAATATATTATAATGAGGAAATAGGTTAGAGCTCTGATGGCTATATGTACTATCTAGTGTGAACCTGAGAAATATTTTCTGTGGGTGGTTGGGGGAAGAAAAGAAAGACATTTTACCAATCTGGGTCCCTCTTGCCTGTATCAATGTAGATAATTATAGTTTGTTTATAAGAATAATATTTGACTGTGTCTTGCAGTTAGAAACTCGCCAATCACTGCTACTAGAGAAGTTGACTTTGGGATTAGTCACAAAGCAGAATGCAGGATTTTATGCAACATCAACAATGATAACAATTTGCACTTATATAGCACTCTTCACCATGGATGGCATCTCGGAGCGCTTATGCAAGCTGTCATACATCCTGGTTAGGCACTACCGACACATGTATCAGTAACCAACCCCTGCACAACATTAAAGTAAAACATTAATTCAAATTTTTATTTTGATACTGCATAAACTTTTGAAATTGAGCTAAACCAGTAATCTGTGAAGTGATTTGGCAGGGACTTTTGTCCGATTTACCTGAGTGACTAGTGCGGCATTTTGCCTCGATTAACCGTATTTTCGTCCGAATTAACAGGCGTATTTAAAGCAGGTAAGAATACAAATGAATCGGGGCCAGGCATTTCATCTGATTTACCCGGCATCTGGGGTTAACCAGCATCAGCTAAAGCAGATTCCACTGTATTGAAAACTTCAAACCAGCATTATTTACACTAATTATTTTCACTAATAATATAGATGTCAGCAAAGTTAGCAGAATTTAAATCCGTATCTAACTAACCTTAATCCACTATTTAATCTAGCCCCTCTTACCAATATTGTTGAACCCATAAGACTCTCTTGCTTTTTCTATTGTGTATTTGGTTGTCGTCCACTTCCCGTAGCGATTGGGATCCAGTTCAATTAGATCGAAAGCAGGTTCCCCATCCATGATCCAGTCACTGAGGTACTTTCCAACACCACCAGCGTGAATAATTCCATACCTGAAAGCACACACATCGTTCCTTTAAGATTGAAACGAGCCTCAGTCAGAGTCGGTGGTCGATCTGAGAAGCTTAAGTGGAGTTATGGCTTTTTCCTTCCAGAGTCTCTCTGTGCCTTGCACCATCTCCAGCTCTGAGACACACACTGAGATCCCTCCACATGGCTTTCTCTTTATTCAGTTCCCAGGAGGGGTGTAAAAGCTTTCCTGGGGGGGAGCCCTTTGGGACGATCTCCTGACGTGAAAGGTGCTATACCACTATAATCTTTTGTTGTTGCTCTCTGATATTTTTTCTTCCTGTGGGGAAGCTCACAACCTCCAATTTGTTTCACCCTTCCTCCAGAAGGTACTGACTCCTGTACAGTACAATTCAAAGGCCACCGGCCATTCTCTGGCGCCCTGTGACTTATGTTTGAGCCCAGGCAGTGAGTGTCGGCGAGGTATGTCGGCCACGCTTTCAGCCACTACACCCTGAAACTCTGGAACACTTCCCCTTCCACCCTATCTTCAGGTCACACCGGAGTAAGACTCTGCCACTGTCAAGCGTTCTCAGACACTACCCTGCTTGAATGGTGCTGTATAAATGCAAGTTGTTGTTGTATGTAGCTATTTTTTCTGTACTAAAGGATTCCCACTTCACATTGCTTCACAGCTCCAAATTACTATGGACTTAACTTGAATTTCAAGGACCATAGCATTAGCTCCATGTTACATATGTAGAGCCTTCAGCCACTCTGCCCCCAACCTCTGGAATTCTATCCCCCAATCATTCCGCCTCGCCCCCTCCTTAGCCTCCTTCAAGTTCCACCTTAAGACCCTCCTCTTTGACCATGCCATCGGTCACCCCCCTTCCCTTCTCCTCCCTTCTCCCCCCCGACCCCTGCTCGGGTCTGAAATGCTGTACACTGTCCAGCGCCTTGGGACGTCCTCCCGACGTGAAAGGCGCTATACAAATACTTCCAGGCAGGGTGAAACCTTGGGTAAGTTTCCTTACTCCACACGCCTAATAATAATCCCTCCAAAAAAAACAAAACAATAATAAATTGGTCATTCTCAATCCATATGACTGTTTGTGGGACATTGCTGTGCGCAATTGGCTGCCGCGTTCGCCCACAAATATACAGTCAATTCACTTTACAGTGTGTTCTGTGAAGCGCTTTGGGACATCCTCCCGACGTGAAAAGCGCTATATCAAATGCAAGGATTATTATTATTATCTTGTTGTTGTATATGAAATCAGTCTGTTAATGCTCCAAAGCAATGAAGAGAATTGTCCGTAAAATCACAACCATTCTGATACTTTTACAACCATTTCTCTTCCCAACACCCATTACAACATAATTTTCCATTTCTTTGTCATCTCTAATTGTTTTTCTTTGCAATTTTAAGGTATCTTTGTAACTTTATTTATTTTGTGTGCACAAATCATTCATTCATTGTATTGTCCTGTAACAAGAAAACAAGTAAGAATGCTTCATGAAAAAAGGGAAACAGTGAAATGGTTACAAAATTTTGATTGACAACGAATATGTTTTTCTCTTTCTTTTTCTCTCAGTTGTAGATGCACCCACCACACAGTCCTTCAGCACTTTGGCTTAAACAGGATCTGCCTTCAGAAAAAGTATTTCAACTATTTTGGAAATGGAGAGAAGGAATAGAGAAAGCAGTGGCACATGATTTGTGTCATTTCCCTCTCCGTGATAGCAAAATTCCAATCATGTAGGATTTAGGCTTATAAGACGTGTCTCCGAACAGTTATTCATAGTTCCTGAATGTGCATAGAGAGGTTTCCTCCAGTCCATTTCTAAAGTGCAGGTCCACTTCACAACAGACACGTTTTTGCCAGAGCCCCTCACATAAGGACTTGGATTAAACAGTTATAATAAAAAATTAGAATCAAGGATACCTCAGTGTTGAATCTGCAAAGAGACTGTGTTTTCTATAAACATGAATTTCTATAAAGATGGGTTTCTATAAACAACAACAACCTGCATTTATATAGCATTCTTCACACAAGGTAGTGTCCCAAAGCGCTTTAATTTATTAATTCTGCCTTTCTCTCCATTTACTGAGACGACAGGGATATGAATTTATCTCAATTTGTAAAGAATATCAACGTGCGCTAACTGGAATAGCTCTATTAGTATAAGACTTGAGCCCATATCCAACTTCAACCGAGCAGGCTCAACGTCACTTAACAATTCTTCCATCTCGGTCATTCATTTCTCATCTTGGGTAACTGCTTCTGTCACTGTCTATTGAGTCCTGATTTTGACAGTATTAGTTCCCTCTGAGATATTCATTTCTATGAGTAACTCATGCCACAAAACTATGGCAAAACTGCAGCCAGAGGTTGTATCAGAGCAGTTTCTGCTCCACTGGTTTGCAATGGAAGAATACTTTCCATTCATAAACTTTTGATTGCTTTGTCCCTATAAAAGGGAACAGAGGGTCGTTGTCTTACAAATGCATGTATTTGTGTTTATGTGTATGGGGGGAGGGGATTAGCCGGGTGTCTGACACACACAGAAACAATCACCATGCTTAAGAGTATCCAAACCAAACTGAGAATTCCATGTATACAAGGAAATTCAAGAGTTGTTTATTGTAACGGAATGCACTTTCTCCCTGGAGGGATGCATTCTTCTTACCTAATTCTGGAGAGTATTAGGTGCAGGTTGGCAAGAGCCAAGGCTTGGGGACCTCAAATTGTACGCTGTGATATTGCTGGTGTTTAACCAGCTAAAATCGCACAGCATTTCACTGAAAGCACTGTCTGGCAAGCTTCCTGCTGCTTGTCCAGCTTCGACCATCTTACCCTTTAGGGCTTTGGCTTGCAGGGTTAACAGCAGCTGAGTGGGAAGAATTCCTGCTCCCCGTGGCCAGGCTGCATCTTCAAGTCCTACAGTTTAGCCAAGCTGGCTGCTGTGTCATCAGCAGTGCCTTGGAGTACTGTAGTCCTACCATAAATTGAAACCACTGAAACGCCAAAGAGGGATTACTACATTCTAACATTCCATTGCCAAGCAAATACCTTGGAGCCAACTCAGTTCCAAGGAGACTCTCCACCTCAGCGAGACACATTGTGAAGGACTACATGCTCCTTGGCTACAAACAACAACATGGATCATGCATCAGAAAGATATAGAAAGGAAAGAATAACTGAGCTTTTTCAAAAAAGAATCGATATAAAATACCATATAAATACAATATAAAAATGCAACACAATATAAAAACATAGCTATATCTTCTAAATTTAAATGTATGGTGCCAACGGCAGTTTTTCCTTAAAATTACAAACAATGAATGAAGGTACAATTCTTCATTGCTTTGCATTGTTTCTCGTAATTTGAACAACAAATGAATTAATCTTAAACCATGAATGCATTGACAGAAGAATGAAAATCAATAATAATAATAATAATCCTTACAGTTGATATAGTGCCTTATCATGTCGTTGAGACATCTCAAAGCGCTTCACAGAATATACTGTAAAGTGAATTCACTGTATATTTTGTGGCGAAACATGGCAGCCAATTGCACACAGCATCATCACTGTGAGAAGCAGTAAAAGATACAATGGGTTGAATGTGAGTAGAAAAGTGTACTTACGCAAAGCCAATAGCCACCCAATAGTTGCGGACTCCTTGATGTGGCCCAAGCATAGGAAGAATATCTGGTGTGTATGTTATGGGGCCTGACACCACGTTAATGATGTCGGCTTCTTTCAGAACTGGAACCAAATCCATTGCAGCCTCAACATTATCCATGATTCTATCCAAATCTGATTCAAAAAGTTCTTTCCCAAATCCTGAAAAAGACACATCATTTATATAGTTTTCCCCCCTCACACAATGTATGAATCATATTACATATGAGATGAAAACAGCGGCAAAGGCAGAAAGGTTTAGTATTGCTTTGACCACACTTGCCCTCCTCAGCCCCTCAGCTCCCCACCCTCATAACCGGGGCCCAGGAGAACTGTCAAGTGCATTGGGATGTCCTCCTGACGTAAAAGGCACTATGTAAGTGTAAACTGTATTGTATTGTTAATAGCCCAAAAGGTTGAGAAGGCGGAGTGCACTGCTCCAGAGGCTGTGGATGGAAGCAACAATTGGGAAATAGATAGTTGGGAAGAAAGGGCATCAAGAAATAAGGAGGAAAGGTGACTAAAAGGTCTACTATTATCTAAGAAAATGGCAGAACACTCTTGATTAGGCAAATGCTCTATCCTGTTCCTATTTTCCTCTCTGCTAATAGAAACGCACAAAATGACCTCACTCGGGCTCTATTCTCTTACATTGGTGACTTAGCTATTTGTGGTACCATGTTCTCCTACAATATACATTAACTATACTTCACAGTAAAATCTTGAATAGTGCTGAGAGGATTTGAAAAACATAATAAAGCGCAGTATCAAACACAAGGTTTTTTTTATTTTAAAAATGAATTGTAGTTCCTTCACGTTGGTCTCATTTCTAATAAATTATACTGTAGAAATTTAAAAATAAATGTTTTTTGATTGACATCCAGAGATGCTGTACGAGTTTCTAGTTATTTATGTAGTGTTAAATAGGAAAAGGAACATGTCAATATTAACCAAATCACCAAACTGCTCTATGTTTTTATGTTGATTGTCCTCTATGTTTACCTGGTGGAACGCCATCTGTTACCCAAGATTCCTGAATCTTCATCTTTTCCTGGTGCTCATAAGGCCCAAACAGCAGTCCATCGCGCTCCTGACGCAGGTAGTATGACCCATCCAGGTCACGGATGACAGGTATCTCTTGTTTCAAGGCTTTCACCTCTGGGATTGTTGATGTGATGATATATTGGTGGTGGACAGGGACAAGCGGGTGCTCAAGCCCAATCATCTTCCCAACTTCACAGGCCCAGAATCCTAGAGCAAAAACAACAGGATAAGTGACCTTGTTCATCAGAAGAAACTGGATAGAAGCACCTAGCGTCAACAACAACAAATTGCATTTAAATGGCTCCTTTGATGTCGGTAGTTCCAAGATTTGCACCCAAGCTGGGGGGAGGGGGGGTGGGGGGGAGGGGGGGTGAGGGTGGAATCAAGAGGGATAGACGGCAAGGGGGCGGGGGTAGGAGGATGACCGAGGGCTTGGTTAAAGAGGAAGGTCTTAAGATGGGTCTTGAAGGAGAAAAGGGAGGGGGTGAGGCGAAGGGATGGAGTTCCAGAGAGTGGGGGCAGAAAGGCTGAAGGCCCGACCACTGATGGCGGGGATATGGTGCAGACCAGTGCCCATTTAGCGGGGAGAACGGTCAGGTTAGTAAGATTTTAGCAGGTCGCGTAGGTAGGAAGGGCAAGACAATAGACGGTTTTAAAAGTGAGATTGAGAATCTTAAACTCAATCCTCTGGGGGATGGGAAGCCAGCATAGCCAGGTGTGGACATGGTTGATAGGCTCATGGAGCTTGATGCAGAGAGGACACATCATGTTATGTGCAGTTCTGCTACAGACTACATATATTGAACATAAAGTTCAATCACGCTATTGTTACAAATACACTATCAGATGTCTGTCCAACTCAGTTGGTAGCTCTCTCCCTCTGAGTCACAAGATTATGAGTTCATGCCCCATGTTGGGAATTTGAACTCATACAGTGTAGGCTGACACACCAGTATAATGTTGGAGGAGTGCAACATTATTGGAGGTGCCATCTTTTGGATGAGACGATGAATCGATGTCCCATCTGCCTGGTCCAGTGGCATTAAAGAGCCCACGGCACAATTTGAAAAGAGAGTTTCTTTCTCCTGATGTCCTGGCCAACAACACTGAGATAAAATAGGTCATTTGCATGTGGGACACTTTTATGCATAAAGTGTTCTCCTACAAATACACACTCACCCCACTTTACAGTAAATGCTTTGAGATGTTCTCTGCAAGTTACATTAAATGTAAGGATTATTATTATTATATTGTATCATTGGAGTTCTGTAGTTGTAAATTATTGTAAAATCAAAGCAAAATTATGTGTTCTCTTGTTTGAAAACCATAGAATGGAGTTGTTTTTTTTCTGGTGGATAAGCACAGGTTATTTGACCAGTAAATCCACCAACAACATGAAATATGTCTTTCCTTGCTTGATGGATTCAGACCTTTGAATAAGTGCACTAGGGGGTTTAGGACACAATCTTGCCCATCACCAGCAGACAAGAGAGAGTTCTCCCCAGCAGGAAGGCAAGACATGATATTAATAATAACAGTAATGACAACAGTCCTTGCATTTAATATTGCCCTTATCACATTGTTGAGACGTCCCAAACTGCTTCACAGGATAAAGTACTCTACTGTAAACTACATTGACTGTTTATTTTGTAGGCGAAACTCGGCAGGCAGTTTACGCACAGCAGTGTCCCACAGACGGGCATGGAGTGAGTGACCAATTTTATTATTGGGAGATTGTTGGCCAGGACACCAGGAGAAACTCTATTCTTTTCGAATCGTGCCATGGAATCTTTAACATCCCCCTGAACAAGCAGACGAGACCTCGCTTTAACACGTCATCTGAAGGACGATATCCTTATAACACCTTGTCATATCAAAACCCCTCAAAAGCAGTTTTCCGTGTACTGCAGTGTCTGTGCATTCGTAGGTGAACATTGCATCAAAGTAAATGTTTTGTCAAACTATCAATAAAAACCAATTTGAACTCATGGTTGGGTTTCTGTCTGACTGTGGAGAACACTCCTGCAGCCCTGTTTGAGAGGAAGAGGTCACTTTTTTAAAAAAACTCTGTGGTGCTTGATTCGCAGCAATATCTGACCTGATCTGTGCTGACTTTGTAGAAAATGAAAACTGCAAGAAGGCCACTAAATCTGATTAGCTTTGGCATTCATGTCAGCAAATAAGCATTTTACCTGGCGGGAACTATCAGCCTACTTTCAACTCTCTCAGGACTTGAACTTATCAAAAGAAAAACTGAAGACGAACCCTAAACTTTAGAAAAACAAGAGGGAGAAATAGGTTTTGAAAAGAATGTTTAAGTCAAACAATCTTTTTGGCAATTTTATCTCCTCCTCTGTTCCTCTCTTGAATTGCTTTGAAAGGCCCCAAAAAGTATCTATGTGAGGGGCTAACTAAATGCAAGTTGTAGTTGTATACAATATTAAATTACAAAAATACAAAATGGCATTTGTATAGCATCTTTCACTATCCCAAAGCACTGACTCTCCTCAGCTATGGGTCATTCCACAGACACCAGCAATCCTTGCACAAAATAACACCACCAACAACTTGCATTTATATAGCGCCCTTCACATGGGGTGGCATCCCAGAGCCCTTGAATATATGTGATATGTTAAGATATGTTAAGATATATGTTAAGATATTAACATATCACATATAAAAATCATCAGAAAAAGTACTTCCCATTGTAAACTATGACCCATGTTTATATAACACCAACTTTTGAGACTTCAGCTCTGACCCGAGATCATCTCAAAGCTGAGTCAGTTCGGCATAAATGGGCTTCTTTTCCAGGATGTAATTTACATCGTAAGGTACTTTTTGACAGTGAGGTGCTAGTAATGTCACCACTTTCCTGAAGTGCTCTTTTTCAACCTCATTGCCACATTCAAGAGATATCCTCATAACAATTGCTTTCAGTTGCAATGACATGCAATCTAGCACAGAAAAGTGGAGCTCTACTATAAAACAGTTGTGTGGCTCATTCATCACTGCCTTGGTCATCTTCAAAGCTTATGACAGGGTCTGATTCTGCAATCTACAGAAGTCAAACTCTAAAGAAGTTATCATCTTACGATCGACCAAAATTATGTTCACTTTCTTATCCTTGGACACTTTGGGGCAATTTGGGGGATTCTCCACTTTCTCTACTCTGATTCTTCACATATGAATGATCAATTACACTTACAATCCAACCCAATGCACTCTTTCTCTAATGATTCCTTCAGCTCGTACTCTCATTGCATACAGCCTTCACCGCTCTCGCTGTGCAATAGATGAACCACAAAACTTGATCTCCTCTATGTTCAATGGGATGATAAAAGTTGTTTGTTTCAATGACTCTCAATGAAGTCTAATCAACAGCTGCCACCTCTCACTTTCCATGGCGCCTCTCCTAATCCTTCTATTAACATTTTGGGCCTCACTATCTTCTATGGTCTCAATTAGAACTCTCATTGCTAATGTGGACTCAAAAAGCTGTTTCCTCTTAACTGAAAATGATTTATTTAATCCTTAAGAAATCCTAACTATCTATGAAATTAGTTAAATGGTTCAATACTGCTTCTGTATAGCGTCAGTTTTTTTTAAGCACTTCTTACATTCCAGCACAACAGGACTAGAAAAAAAGGTTTGCCATTTGTTAGGTTACCTTTCCCTCACCTTCAGCCTCTATCTTCTTCCTATGCCATAACCTTTCCTGTGTCTCCTGTATTTTATCATGAGACTATGATCACATTGGAAGAACATCACAAAGTGCTTCACAAGAGTTACTGTAAAGTGAAATGACTGGATATTTTGTAGGTCAATGCAGCAGCTAATTTGCAAACAGCAATATCCCACAAACAGCTATGAAGTGAATGAGGAATTTTGTCTTGGGGAATTTTTGGGCAGGAAACTAGGAGAAATTCCTTTTTCTTTGCGAGTGCTATGGAATCTTTAACATCCAACTGAACACACACAGTCGGGACTTTGGTTTAATGTCTCGTCTGAAACATGCACGTCCGACGTAGCAGTACTCCCCAGCACTGCAAAGGAGTGACAGCCAAGATTGTGAGTTCAAACTCGCAATGTTGGGTTTGAACCCACAATCTTCTGATTGAGGTGAGGGTGCACCCAACTAAACCAGGCTGACACCTATATGTACAAATATGTACAATTTATTTAATAAAAATGTTGGATGTATATTTACCTCTACATAATGGAAGCTTTAACCGTAATCAGCAATGGTATCCATCAAACTTTTGTTACTTGTTGTTTCACTTTATTTTAACTATAGAGGATAGTTTGATAGAATTATATCTTCACCTTCAAACAAACAAGCAGAAATTCATGTTTGTTACAATCCTGCAACAACCAAGACTTGTTTCTATTCCGATGTTGTCAACACTTTCTCTATCAGTTCATTTCAACCCTAACAAACAGCCTTACCCAAGTGTACAGAATATACCGACTAAGTATTGGGTCTAAAATGTGGGTAGGACTAATATCCCATGTGATAAACACTGTTGAAACGCATACATGCTCCCTTAATTGAGCAATAAACTAATAATGAAAAGGAAATTATTCTGTATCCCCTTTCATTGATTAATTACAAAATTAGGACCTGGATTTTAGACCCCAGCATATGTGTTTGTGATGTGAACCTAATCTCAACCAACTGTTAAAATATAATTCGAAATTATGCAGATTTCTACAAAGTAATAAGAATAATAATCTTTGCATTTGAAATAGCGCTTTTCATGTCTTCTAGACGTCTCAAAGCACTTCACAGAATAGACTATAATGTGAATTGACTGTATATATGTGGGCGAAACGTGGCAGCCAATTGGGCACAGCAGTGTCCCACAAACAGCCGTGGATTGAAGTGACCAATTTATTATTGTATTTTTTTCTTGAGGGATTACTATCAGGCATGTGGAGTAAGGAAACTTGCCCAAGGTTTCACCCTGCTGGGAATTGAACCCAGGTCTCTCGCTTGCAAAACGAGTGCTCTAACCACTGAGCTACAGGACTCCACAAGTAAATGTTAAAATAGTGAGGTAGAGTGTGTTACAATACAACTTAACTTTATCTAGCACCTTTCATGTCGGGAGGACATCTCAAAGACCTCTTGAAGTATTACAGGATTATCTTTCCCTTGCTTATCATTCTTACAATGCAGAGCAACCTTGTTATAATGCCGTAGT